AATAATCACATTCACTTTTAAAAAGTACTTTGAGAATGTGGCAACACAAGAAGTAAACAGAGTTAGAAATTTAGATTTTGCCTGTTATTGTGTATTTCTAGCTCAGGTTTGAAACTTGGGTGTGTGGTGTGGTTGTGTTGTAAAAAATATGACCAACTAGGTGTGTTCTTGAAATCAGCATCACTGTTACTAGCTCCTTTAGGAGAAATGGTTTTCCCCAACTTGGGTTTTCCCTTACTTAAACTTCAAATTCATTCCAACCACCAAAATAATTGTTTTCTCTTCTAAAACAAGAGTTCCAGTGGTATTTTTCTAGCAGAAACAACGTAGAAGAAGGTGGCCTCCAGAAAGACCACACTAGTCCTCTTTTTGCTGGACTCCCAACCTGTATTTCTCATCCTGCAGGTGCCTCAAACCCAACTGTTGCTAAACATACTCTTTCACCATCCCCCAAAACTTGTTCTTCCTTTGAGTTAATGGTTCTGCCACCTATCTAGTCAGAAGAAAACCACAAAGTCATCATAAAAATATAACTCAAATTCCTGGGGCTTTCACGTAGGCATACCTTGACATTATAATTGACATTTGGGGCAGGATAATTTCTTGTTATGGGGGCTTACCTGTGTATTGTGGGATATTTAGGAGCATCACTAGCCTCTACCTGCTAGATGCTAATAGCACGTACCCTCTTCCAGGCTTCTGGATCAAAATTATCTCCAGGCATTGCCAAATGTCTGCTAGAGGAAAATTCAATTCCCCTTGAGAATCACTGCTGTGGTTGATTTCTTTATTCCCGACAATGCCCCACAAGGTAAGTATTGTAACTTCTTGTCACATTTTGCAGGTAAGGAAACTGCACCTCTAGGAATTGGGAGACTTTTTAGCCTCAGTCATGTGGCAAAGCTGGTCTCAAATAAAGTATGTAAAAACTGTCTCCTCAGCCGGGCTTGGTGGCTCAGCCTGTAATCCCGCACTTCGGGAGGCTGAGGTGAGCGGATTGCCTGAGCCCGCGAGTTTGAGACCCACCTGGGCAACTTGGTGAGACCTCATCTCTACAATAAATCAAAAAATTAGCCGGGTGTGATAGCGCACGCCTGTAGTTCCAGCTACTTGGAAGGCTGAGGTGGAAGGATCACCGGAGCCCAGCAGGTCGAGGCTGCGGTGGTGGGAGCGGCCACTGCACTCCAGTCTGGGCAACAGAGTGAGGCTCCAACTCAAAAAAAAATCTCCTCTTCTCCCTGCTGCTTTCTGGTGCTCAATTCTTCCTTGCATTTAGTTTTTTTTTTTTTAATTTATGTGAATCTTTCATTTGAAATGTCTTGATTTTGCTCCCTGCATTCTAGATTGCCTTAGCTCAGATCTATATTTCTAACCCAGATTATAATAACTAGGCTCTTAATTTATCATCTGGATTTCAGTTCCTTCATCTTTCAATCTCCCTTTCATATTGCTAGGAGCTGACTTTCTCAAACAGCCATTATTACATAACTTCCCTACTGAAAATTCTTCTGTGGCTTCCACATTGCCTAGAGTAGTGGTTTCCAAAGGGTGGTCCTGGGACTGCAAACTTTGGTATTACCTGGGAACTTGTCCGAAAGGCAAATCTTTGGGCCCTACCCAGACCTACTGAATCAGAAACTCTAGAGTTGGGGCCCAATAATCTGTTTTAACACACCCTCTAGATGATTCTGATGCTCACTGAAATTTGAGAACCTCTGACCTACTTCACAGAGCTCTAACCCAGACTTCCTTTCCTACCAGGTACTTTATACTACCGTCTCTCCTGTCTCACTCCAAGCACTTGCCCACCCTCCAATTCCATTTTATCATTAGCTATCAAACCCGCATTTGTCTTACTTTTCAAGCACCAATAATATAAACAAGATAGTCCAGTACTTAAGTAACTCTCTGGCCTGCACCTGGGATGCTGGAATTAGGTCATTTTAAGCCACAAGTCTCTGCCATAGCAGCTCCTTCTTCCTGGTGAATTTTTGTGTCTTTTGTGGGTCATCCTTGAATGTCCCTTTTCCTGAATTAATCAGAGGGTTAATCCATACTTCCGTACCTGCCTGTCATTTCATTTATTCCATAGTGGCATTCACATTTGTTTACCTGTCTCCTAGAATACAGGTTATGTGAGGGAAGAGTCTTCACTCACCTTTGTGTAACCAGCATTGTGACCATGGTGATCAACACATCAACAGAATACATCAGCAGAACACATCAGCATCATCTGGGAGCTTTTAAAAAATATGGATGCCAGAGCTCACCCCTAGACCTACAGAAAGAGTCTTGCAGATCCATATTTTTAGAAGTCCCTACACCCTCATTACACAATGCTAACTTTAAAAACACACAGATAATATCTATACATTTATATATATGAAAGGGCTGCAGACTGCAAGGCGGTCATCCCACAGGCTGGGAGGCATGCCTCTGGCTGCTTTGAAGCAGGAACTTTATGCTAAAGGATTGACTGGTCATATATATTCAACAGGTTATAGGAGGAGCTATGAATATTCATGAAGGTGGTACCGCTGCATGTGTACTGAGCAAACATGCATGTTATATATGATCCATGTTCACCTTGGGGTGGAGAATTAACATTGATATGTATTAAATTGGGCCCTCTACATGAAAAGGTCTTTTCAGGACAACGAAGTCTTTCAAGTGCGCAGTCTCTGTAAACCAGCCAGAACCAGTCCATGGTTGGTGGTTTTCTTATCAGGAGGAAGTTACTGAAATCAGTCTCTTGTCTAATCGAAAACTGTAATTACGGCTAGTGGAAGAGGGGGTCAGTTAGTCAGTGTCTGAGAGTTGGATGAGTTGTAATTGTTTTAATTTTGCTTATCTCAAAGTCATTGCTTGCTTAGCTGCTAGAGAAAAAGAAAAATCTTGTGGCAGTCAGAATATAGTTTATTCTTTCAGTGTAGGGGTGCATGACTGAACCCTTGCCAGGCATGACCTTAGGTTCTGTTTATAATTTGGTATCTTATGGCCACAAAGCATCTGTCAGTCTTATGATCTCTATTTTAACCTTAATGCTGGTTAGTTGTGGTGTCTAAACCCCGGGTGTGAGGGTGTTAGAGGTTGAAAAGAGGCCATTTTCATTATATTAGAACAGTCATTTAGAAAAGACTTAAAAACACGCATTCTTTCGTAGCTGAGTTGGGCTGAAGGTAAAAGCTGCTTGGATTCAAAAGTGTACATTTTTCCTATTCCCTCCTGCTTCTCCTCTCCTAGTATTGTCTTTCCTGACTGGCTGGCCACTCTTATCTAGTAAGCCATTGCTGGTGCTGAAGAGGAAGCAGAAAGGCAAGCTAGACCACCTACTGATTAGGAGAGTGGACCAAGGCCAAATGGAGTGTGTTTGAAAGCTTGGAGTGGGCATTGCCACCTCCTCTCCATCTGCAAATACAAGGACATTGGACTGTGACAAGCTAGGGCTCTGGGAATAAAAGATTATTACAATTATATTTTCCCTTCCATCCAAATACTGCAATTGTCTGCCCCTTCCTCTAAAAATCCAGTAAAAGAAAATATCGTAAATTCCAAAATGTTATCTAAAATGTCAGCATGACCAGGAGACTTTGTGTCATGTCAGTGGTCATATATCAAATATTGTTAATGTAAATCTTGGGTCATGCTAAACCCTTACATAGACTTCAAACTCAGAGTGGGTGAAGGACTATGAATTTTGGGTATAAATACTGGAATGAAGCCGGGTTCGGTGGCTCAGCCTGTAATCCCACACTTTGGGAGGCCGAGGCTAGAGGATTGCCTGAACCCGCGGGTTCAAGACCCGCCCAGGCAACTTGGTGGGACCTCGTCTCTACAATAAATCAAGAACTAGCCGGGAGTGGTAGTGCACGCCTACCAGCTACTTGGAAGGCTGAGGCAGAAAGATCGCTGGAGCCCAGCAGGTCAAGGCTGCAGTGGCCGGGAGCGTGCCACTGCCCTCCAGCCTGGGCAACAGAGTGGGATTCCGACTCAAAAAAAAAAAAAAAAAAAAAAATTACAGGAATGAATTTGTGTTGCGGGCAGTGATACTGATCCATCTCCTTATAACCTGGTTATAGAAATGAAAACACTCCCTTTTCTCCCTCTCCTATTTTAATTGGCCATGAGGGATAGTAGCCGATTTATTGGATCTGGGGCAACAAGGGGATAAAACATGGGCTGTCTGATCTCCCATCCCATCATGACTGGGAACTAAGTTTTAAGGTTTTTGAAGGTTCCCTTGGCCAAGGTGGGGGGTGGGGGTGGGGTTCTGTTCAGTCAATAGGGACTTAGGATTTTATTTTTAGTTGACTGCAGATGTTTAATATTTCTTAGATGTCTGGTCAATTACTCAGCAAAACTCGCTAGAGAATCTTGTCTACCTCAGCTTGCTTCTCCAGCTTATGGGTGTGTGTGTGTGTGTGTGTGTGTGTGTTTGCTTTTGATTTCACTTTCCATTTCTTCTAACTTGAAAGTATCTGTATTGGTAACAACCAAACAGCAGTCATTACTGATACAAGACAATGTTTGTTTAGATTATTTTAGTTGCTGATCGAATTTCTGGCGTTTTATGGTAAATGTAGTTTTCACAGTCTCAAACATCCAGCAGCACCCTTAGTTAGAGTTACCTGTCCCACCTGAAGTATCTTTCAGGATTTTAGTCATTTTGCGGCTCCTCGCTCCCAAGGTATCCATGGCTCATCACAGTTGTCCTTATTAAGGAGGCTTCCGCGATCTTAAACCGACTCACCTGAACTCAGCATCCCTGGGCCGGCGGGGCCTAGCCATGAACTTATGATGGGGGGCGGGGAGGGCGCGCCGGGGAAGAATAAATGAGGAAGTTCTCCGGGGCGGGAGCGATCTGCAGCTGGGAGCGAGAAATCGAAACTCGGCTGTTAAAACCGCTGCCCCTGCTCTTTGGAATCGCATCTCGGGACTCGCCACGCGTCCCAGCCGGATCCGTCCAGCAGCCGGGGCGGCGGGACCGCGGGTCCTGAACCATGTACACCCGCAGTAGGGTGCTGGGCTCCGGGCTCGGCGCGCCCCCTGCCTCCCGCCCGGTCCAGGACCCCCAGAAGCGGCGGGAGGAGCTGGACCCGCTGCAAGGCCAGCGGCAGGGTTTGGAGGCGGCCTCCGAGGGCCTTTCGCGGGACAGCGCCCAGCACGTGGGCCTCAGGCGGTAAGTATGGAACAACCGGTCTTGGGGACCAGCGCCTGGACCCCAGACACACTGCAAGCTCCCGGTAGGCCTTTGGAGTTTGAAACCACGGGGGTCCAAGAACAAGGATTTTTGACAGAACGAAGCCTGGCTTATTTGCCTAAATAAAATATAGTCTACCATAAACAGTGATCTAGCACAGAAAGAACAGAGGACCGCATGTTCTCACCTGAACATTTACCATTATACTATAAGAAAGGGATTGCAGTAGTGGGTGACTGAGGAGGTGTGGGGAGGACACAACATCAAGGAGGGTACCTGATTTCAAACAAAGCAAAGTGAGGAGCAAAAGCAGACCCAAACTTTACCTGTATGAGGACCACTTGGATACCTAATCCTGAAAGGTACCCCACATCATAAAAAAAAGTACCCATGGATTATTTTATAAATTGAGCCAGCCAGTTCGCGGTCCTTTACTAAATAGTCAAACTCCATCCTTTTCGGGAACACTACCTTCCATATCCTTCTGATTGGCTACAGGAGTGTAAGATATGGGTGTGTAGAAACCACCTAGGCATCTTATTAATTTTTCAGGTGTCTCCAGAACTCGTCTTCCAACTAGTAGGGAAATAAGTTTTCCCTTATTGTTTCCAAAAATCGGTGCCCTAAATGGAATCACTACATCAGAAACCAGGGTAAGGGTAGGAAGACACGTAACATGGGCTAGAAGATCCAGGCTGCCTCTAGCTAGGAGCAAGCCTGCATCCAAACAGGACTCCCAGGTCGACAAGAATATTATAACCAGAGGGGTGGGGCTGCCATGCCTGCCTCTGGTCCCTAGCATTGACATGCGCCCTATGCAGCACAGATAGGTAGCATTGATTCCTGGTCTTTGGTTCAGGGACTGCAATTGGTATCCTGGAAACACTTATTATGCAAAATGTTAGCCTCTCTTTCCACCCAGTGGAATGAGCTGCTTTAACTCAAAAGTGTGATTTGTAATGACATTACTGACTTTGAAGTGCTGTCTCTGTGAACTGGAACTATCCAAATGGTTTTATTTTTATTTTCCCCTTTTTTCATTGACTTCTAGTCATATGAAAGACAAATGCTGGTTGCGTAGAAACAGTATATAACCTTATGACCAATAAACAGTAGATGTTCTTTCATCCCTAAACTTTTGAAAGTATCAGGCCTTTAATATTATTCAACTTGGGGTTACCCTTAGTTGGGGTGGATGATCTGGAAATCAATTAGAGATTGCTGCATTTCTCTTCCTCTTAGAATAATTGGTCTCTTGCCACAATAGAGGAAGCCCATTAATTGTAAGTAACCTACATATCTGTAAGCTGTAGTGCTTAATCCTAACAGAGGTCATGGATATATGATCTCATGTTCATAAGTGGTTCATGATAGACACCATTTACATACCTTTTTTAAAATTAAAAAGCACTTGCATAGATATAACCACTTATCTGTAAGTTCATAATTTCATAAGCATTAGCAGTTGCACCTGTTTTCTTATTTGATTGTAATTGCCCCAGACTCTTGTTGAACCAAACTACTCAGAAAGGGACCGTTTTCTGATTATTCAACCGTTAGTACCCTGAAGATTTCACTGCATATTACTTTGTGATTCCTAAGATTTGCAAATTAACTATTAAAGAATAATTGGAAGAATTTAGTTATCTCTCACAGAGTTCTTCCTTATTTTTATATGAACCAGTTATAGTAAGTAGAGAATTATAAAATACATTCCCTTTTAGGTGTTTAATGTCTGGTTTGGACAACTCTGAATTCTTATATCTCCATTAGTCACTTATATTCACTTAATTTTTTCCTTTAATAGAAGTGAAATACTAAGGCTAGTAAATGGCAAATAACATAGTAAAGTCAACACCCTCCCTCCAATTAAGGTGGTTTTATTTATATGGAGGCTAGAAATTAAGGCATTTTCTAATAAATTAAGAAAAAAGGAAGAATAAAGTTAAGTGCTCTAATAGTAAAGCTTCCGTTGTTCACTCACAGTATGAACTTATTTATGGTAAGATAAGGGTTGAAATTTACTCTTTTGTGTACATTCTGCCATTTATTTGTGCAGCCCCAGTAGTGGGGGTTAGAAAATGGGCTTTGATGGCAGGTGACTTGGGTTCAAGTTCTGATTTGCTGTTACTGGCTCTCTAAATAAGATGCTTAGCTTCATGCCTTAGTTTCCTCATTATTTAAAATGAGACAATTCCAACCCCAAAGGGTTTTTTTTGTTGTTTTTTTGAGACAGGGTCTTGCTCTGTTTCCAGGCTAGAGTGCAGTAGTATGATCATTGCTCACTGAAGCCTCGAGCTTCTGGGCTCAAGTGATCTTCCTGCCTCAACTTCCTAAGTAGCTAGTGTGTATATGCATAAAACAAAACTTTATAAAGCAAATAGCCAGTAAATGCTGGGTGCTGATAGCCTTAAGTTCATTTAATAAACGTTTATTGACCAAGTGCTATACTGTTACCCTTAAGTCTAGTGTTTGTGCCTTTTAAAAACACACTGACTTAAAACATATATATAAGCAAAGCATATTAGTAAAAACAAATCTATGGAAATCTCTTAATATATTAAATGATTCTGAGGACTTCTGATAGACTGTCGGGCAAGGGTGAGTTCTTAGTGACATTTGGATTTAAGTTATTACAAATATTTACTAATTCATATTGGCTTTCCCAATTATTTTTAGTTGGTAATTTTGTCTTTTCCCTAAATATTGTAAGCTATCTTCACAGATTTAAAGAGAACAAAGCTTATACAAATTTCTAGTCTAAAGTGATTCTTTATCCTCTCTTTGAATATTTTGCTTGTTTATCCTTCACTTATATCACATTTGGATAATTTTAAGTGAAGGCATGCATTTAGCTGGTTTTACTCAATTCTGGCAATAGGCTCTTGCCTGTGATAGAAATATTCATGTCACATTCAGACACTTGTCAATAACCATTAACTGATCCTTTAGCTTAATGCTGTTTAAAGGAAATAAAAAAGATATTTCAAAAATGAACCCATAATGTGGAATTTTGCGAAATTTTGTCTTATAGCCAACTTTAGCATAACATGTATACACATCCAGTTTGTTTTAACATATTTGTGGCCTACTGAGTACTGTAGAGACTTAAAAATGGCCAATAATAGTAATAATAGCAAACACTTAGGTATTGTTTACTATGTAAAAGCACATTACCTACATTAACTCTTTCAATTCTTACAATAAACCTGTAATAAGAGAGGGTGCCTAACTTAAAGTAACTAAAAACATAGGAACAAATAACTACTCAATAAAAGAAGCCCTTATGAAGCTTACTGTCTAATTGATGGGGCAGACATTTGTCAATAATTACATCAATAAGTCTTTATGTCTGCCTAAAGGAAAGCCAGAGCCTGAGCCAGTCTTAGGAGTAGGAAAATCTTCCCCAAGAGGTGATGCCTGAGCTTTGATCTACAGGATATTAGGAATTAGAATTTTTTTTTTTCCCTGACACCAAATATGTCATTCCACCACTAACTCTCTGACACCAACTGGGCATCTGACAATTCAATTCAATTCTAACACTACTCAGAATTAGTACAGACCCCACAAATTAAGGGCTCAGTCCCACAAGACTGCCCTAACTTCAGATACCAGCTGCAAATGGGGTATCTAGGATATTTTCACTTCTGCCCAGTAGATTTCAAATTTGGGGGTTCCTGCAATATCTCCTCTTCCCCAGTTTTGATAATTCAATAGAATGACTCACAAAAGTCATGAAAACTGCTATACTTATGATTCCAGTTTTATTATAAAAGATATAAGTTCGGGACAGTCAAATGAAAGAGATACATAGGGCATCTCCTGGAAGAAAGAAGGAGGTGTTGTCAGGCAAGTTGTCCATCATTACCTAGGCATGATGGATTAAATCACCTGCCATTGGTGATTAAACTCAATCTCCAAACCCTCTTTTCTCCCCAGAAGTTATATTGGGTCTGAACATTTAAACCCTCTAACACATAGCTGTTTTCTTTAGAAACCAGTCCCTTTCCTGAAGCTGGAGACCCCACTAAGAATCTTTTCATTAGCATATTAAAAGACATTTATTACTCAGGAAATCCCAAGGGTTTTGGAAGCTCTGTGCCAGGAACCAGGGATAATGACCAAATATTTATTTTTTTATTATAGCACAGGAGTTTAAATGGCCTCTGTGTAGACAGAGAACTTTGTACTCAGATCTTCTTCAAAAGAACTTCTAATGGAGAGCATGGTCAACTGACAGCCCCATCTGCCACCTTTTGGATCCATTGTACCCTTTGCCCCGAGTGCTTACTTATGCTGCACCCTTGCTGCCAGTGTCTGAACACTCCTGGGTACCAGTGCCAGCCCACGCCTGGCCCATGTGGGACTTCTCTATTGGGGAACTATTGCTGGAAGACTCTCCATATTCCAGTCCAAGATTTCTCAGAATTATTAGCAGTCTGAGGCTCTTTCTATTCAATCCTCTTTCTCTCTGTCCTTTCAGAGTATGAAAGTTGTCAGAATCAAAATGAAGTCACTTGTGTCAAGCTGACAAATATAGCCAAGGCCATGAAGAGAATGTTCTCACGCACATATACCTGATAACAAGAACTATCACAAAAATCTGCAGAAACCATGACCTTGTACAAAGGCCACCACAACCTTACACGAAAAGTACTGCAAGAATATCTGCCCAGCAACTGCCTGTCCAATCTTGGACCGATGCCACCTTTGTTATTGATCCTTATAGCTAAGGATAATTGTCTCAAAACATCTTATGTAATCCTCCTGACTTTTCCTTTAAAAACCCTTGTCTTCCCAGCTTTAAAAACCCTTGTCTTCCCAGCTGGGCTCTGTAGCTCAGCCTGTAATCCCAACTTTGGGAGGCTGAGGTGAGTGGATTGCCTAAGCCCACAGGTTCGAGACCAGCCTGGGCAACTTGGCAAGACCATGTCTCTACAATAAAATAAAATAAAATAAAAATTAGCTGGGTATGG